GAAGAATTGATCCCGGGGTATCAATTATTTGATTGAAACGAAAATTACATGAATTCTGGGAAAAAACCAAAAAAATTCCGGGAATGTTCTCAGAATGTTCTGGGAACTACTCCCAGAGTCACTCTGCAAAAATTCCGGGAACCTTTTCACGTGGGACGTTCTTTTTTTAATTTTGTGGTTTTGTATGGTCTAAAACAATCCTTATATTATGTAAGAAAAATTTCGGTGCGTAAAGTAAATTTTAGTGCGTAAAGTGAATCACTTTACGCAGCGTTTTAAAAAGAAATTCTTTACACACACTTTTTAGTGTGTAAAATTTAACTTTAGAGGTTAGTGTTGCAAAAAAAATTTCGATTTTTGCTTCCTCGTAGAGGAAGCTATGTAGTCCTTTCGTTTATAAACTTTTTAAAAATGGTGAAAACAAATTTTCCTCTATATAGAAACATGTTATATGAGATCCTGATCAATTGTCCGGATGTATGTATGTGTGTGTGGATCGTTTTTGTGAACACGATATCTTTAACAGGTTTTAATGGATTTGGATAAAATTTGGTAGGCTTATTTAACACATTAATCTCTCAAAAATTACGAGAGGATTTTTAAAAATACCCCAAAAAAAAAATTTTATCGTCTTTTTTCCAAAAATTTTTTTTTATTTGAAAAAATTTTTAAATCGAAAAATTTAAGGTAATATATAATATAATCGTCTTCTTTATGTCAAGATGAATCGATTGATATATATAAAGTATAGATTTGATTGAAATTTAAAGAATTAAAGAAAGTTAAAAAATCAAAAATTCTCATTTTAGCTAAAAAATGATGTGTTTATTTAAATTCATGTTTACATATGAAATAATTTTATTCCCTGCATTGAAACGAATTGGTTGGTATATATAAAGTATAGATTTGATTTAAAATTTGAGAATTAATAAAAATTGAAAAATCGAAAATTCATATTTTAGCTAAAAAATTTTGTGTTTTTTTTAAATTCAAGTTGATGAATAAAATAATTGTATTCCTTGCATTAAAACGAATCGATTCATATATATAAAGTTTATGTTACACTCAAAATTAATTAAAATTTTCTTTATTTTTCAAAAAATTTAATTAATTTAAAACATTTTTAACTCGAAATTTTTTAAATCAATCAATTGAATTGGACAAATTCATTGCTTCCTTCACGAGGAAGCGAATTTTTTGCTTCACACAATGAGGAAGCATAATGTTTATGAAATAAACATAAAGGACCCCCTCCTTGTTTTTTTTGTTAAGTATGTTTAAAAACACACATTTTGAAAAAAAGACTTTTAAAATTGATGCAATTTTAAGGAAGTTATGAGCATTCAAAACTTAAAAGTCATGAAAATTCTCCAATTTTAAAAATTCTATAACTCGAAAACGGCTTGCTAAAAAAAGTTGAAAAAATTCATGGAAGCTAGTGTCAATTAGTACTAAAAGAAAAAAATATCGGAGATGCAATTGCAGATTCACTTACACTTTGGAGTGGAATACATCATATATAAGTCAATATTTCCATTTTTTTATTTTTACAATTTGGAAAAAAAAACTTTTTTGTTTAAAATAAGTTAATTTTTTTCATTTTTAAATAACTTGTTTTAATTAAAATTGAAATTAATAATTCTTATTAATTTAATCAATTAGGGGAACGTTATATTTAATTATGTTTTGTGATTTTATTAGAGATAAATATGTGTAAATTTAGATACATGAATAAAAATAGAGGTAATAATTAAATTTGTTTATGTTTTTCTTCATTTTTTCAAATTGTGGCCTCACAGTTTTCTTGATAGTATCAAATTGAGACCAAAAATATCATCAAATGTTTGCAACGTTTTGATGCACATAAGTTATATCAAAATGAGAGCGTTTTGTAAATCATTTTTAGAAATGATACACCAAGCGGTCTCATTTTTTGATGCAAAAAATTTAATCAACTTATATTAATCATGGCCGAAATGAATCGACTGAAAAATAAACGATTTATTTTCAGTTATTTTCGTAATAGTGTAATTGCCGAGACTAGTTTGCTATTTAATTTGAAAATGGAAATAATAGAAAATCAAAGACAATGTGCAATTCGATATTTAAATAGTGACAGCTTATAAACATAACCTAAAATGCATGACAAAAAATTTGTCGATAAAATCAATATAGCCGAGCTTTTTAGAAGGTAGGTAGCAGCACTTATCTTTTTTCTTTCTTTAAATTTTTTCTGCATCGTTTTTATATAAAGCAAAACTCTTACTTGCTAAACGAAAATATTGGTCAAAAAGATGTATTATGTTATCAAAAAAAGGAATATTGTAATCAATAATATTGGTTTAAATAGGATATTAATTATTTTCAACAATATTTTTAATAAAATATTTCATTATTTTTTACAATATTTTTAATGAAAAAATTAATTTTTTCACAAATATTTTTGATCAAATAATAAATATTTTTCACCAATGTTTCCGTTCAAAATGAATATTTTTCACCTTTTCTTTGATAAAAAAATTAATTTTTTTCACCAATATTTTTTATGAAAAAATTAATTTATTTCACTAATATTTTCGATTAAAAAATTAATTAATTTCACCAATATTTTTTATTAAAAACATTTGTTTTTCATGAAAATTTCCTTTAATAATGTATTTTTCTTTCTTTAAAGAGGAGGGGGTAAAATCCTAATTTTTTTGGGTAAAAATCTCCATTCTATATTTATTGGATATAACTAAATATTGTCAAATTACAATTTTTGCCAATAAAAATTAAGATTTAATCTTCTCCTGTCTACAGAAAAGAAATTCCTATTTGTTGTTTCAGAAATTAAAAATAGTGAAAAAATTTTAAATTAACAATATTTAGTCCTTCCCCTAAATAAAGAATGGAGATTTTTTGCCAATAAAAATTAAAATTTAAACTCCTCCTCTCTATTAAGAAATATTTCTATTCATGGCGTCAAAAATTAAAAATGGAGAAAAAATTAAATTTTTTTATTTGACAATATTTAGTCCCACCCCCTTAATAAAAAATGGAGATTTTTTTCCAAAAAAAATTAAGATTTTACCTCTTCCTCTTTACAAAAAGAAAAAATACATTTTTAAAGGAAATTTTCATCAAAAAACAAAATTTTAATTAAAAATATTGGTGAAGTAAATTAATTTTTTAATCAAAAATATTCGTGAAATAAATAAATTTTTTGATCAAAAATATTTGTGAAAAAATTAATTTTTTCATTAAAAATATTGTTGAAAATAATTAATATCTTATTTAAACCAATATTATTGATTACAATATTACTTTTTTTGAAAACATAATACATCTTTTTGACCAATATTTTCGTTAAGCAAGTAAGAGTTTTGCTTTTTATAAAAACGATTCAGAAAAAATTTAAAGGAAGAAAAAAGATGAGTGCTGCCACCTACCTTCTAAAAAGCTCGGCTATATTGATTTTATCGACAAATTTTTTGTCATGCATTTTAGGTTATGTTTATAAGCTGTCACTATTTAAATATCGAATTGCACATTGTCTTTGATTTTCTATTATTTCCATTTTCAAATTAAATAGCAAACTAGTCTCGGCAATTACACTATTACGAAAATAACTGAAAATAAATCGTTTATTTTTCAGTCGATTCATTTCTGCCATGATTAATATAAGTTATAAATTTTTTGCATCAAAAAATGAGACCGCTTCGTGTATCATTTCTAAAAATGATTTACAAAACGCTCTCATTTTGGTATAATTTATGTGCATCAAAACGTTGCAATAGAAAATGATACAACCAACTTTACTGTGCTGTGAAAATTCTTTGTGGTAATTAGAAAATGGTGCCAGCCAGCAGAGTTTCGTTACCTCGATATGGCTTTTCTTATTATCTTGAAAATTAAACAAGATTCATGTATAAAATTTGATATTGTTGCATATTTAATTGCTAAGAATCAATATTTGTGTTTTATTGTCTAAAATGTGTTATTATTAGATATTCTAATACTAAAGAATTTTTTATGTCTTAAATATTTTGTAAAATTTTCATCTGTCCAGAACTATTGACAAAATAAGAAAAATATCTAAAAATAATATAAATTATATCATTTTATTGGAATTTCAAGTAAGAGCTCCTAATACTCCACAGGTGGGGTAATGGGAGAAAATGCATTTTTTAGAAAATTTTTTTTTTTTGCAAATTTCCTTTCTTTCTCTTAATTTCTAATAATTATAATTAAAGATAAATAACAAAAGGAGTAAAATATGACCGAAAGAATATTTTCTTATAAGGATAAGTCGGTTTTTTTTAATTATTTTCCTTAAGGGACTGCAATTCCCCCACCATCCTCTAAATTTAAATTTAAATTATATAATATAAAAATTACAATAATTAAATAAATATATTTTTATTGATTTATTTATTTAATTTGTTATTATGAATATATGTTATCTTAAATAAAATTTTATTTATGCTTACTTGTTTTATTTGTCAATATTAGCCCAATAAAATAAAAATTTCAAATCAATTAAACTTATTATTTATAATATAATGCTTACATAATATAATAATAGCTCGTTACTGTAGCGAATTCAGTGACGCCTGCTTGACGGACTTATATTACTTTTTGATGACGGTATTCTAGGTCGCATCTTGGTAAATTCTAGACAACCTACTGTACGAACTTATAGAAAATTTTCAAGTAAGCATTCTAGACAATAACTAGCTAAATTCTAGAAAGGCTACATATCTAAAGAAATAAAGGGAAAACTGTATAAAAACTTCACATGAACTTTGAGGGGCCATTGCAGTTATTTGAGAATAAATTTCCACGACAAACACTGTCTAGCTATAGGCTAACATTAGGACGGCCACGATAAATTTCTACACGGGATATGTGAAATGAACGGGGTGGTTTGGCACCCCAGATTGCAAAAACAAAAAAGGACAGGAAAAAATAAAAAATTTTGCAAAATGTATCTTTTTTTAACAATTATTTATTGCAGTTTCTCAACAATATGGCTACTTTCGAAATATTCAATATTTTTTCATATAAAAAATTGACTTTTGCATCACTGGAAAATATAAAATTTTTTTAAAAAATTAAACGACGAAAATTAAGGAAAATTGACGCGCCAATAACTTCCAGAAACATATCTATCGCTCTAACTCGACAAAATCGATTGTCAGAAGTATAAAATGAATTATGGTTAGGATCCTGAACCAAAAACATTAGTGGTTAAGTCGTAATTGCACCTTAAACTTCGCGTGGGGCTCCAAACCACCCCAGTTTTCCATTCTAGGGTTAAACCAATGATTTATTTTCCATTGAGTGGTTACCAGGGGGTCAATTCGTCCTCTTTGTCTTCCACTGAAAATTAAATCATATTCATTTTCGAAACATTTTAAAAAGTAATTTTTGTAAACAAAATATTACCCTCCATTAACTTTTTGTAAAATTCAATTGCTTTTCTCTGGAAATTTGAAAAATTTCAAATTGACTGTTTTTATGTTAAACTTAATAACCTCTTCGCCGGACTGCAGATTTTTTATATACGCGGTTGACGAGAACCCACCCAGGAGGTCAATTACGTAACTTTTTTCGGATTCCACATCCTGTATTCCAAATCCCACATTCCGGATCTCACTTTCAAAATTCCGTATTTCAGATTCCGGATTCCACTTCTAAAATTCCGAATTTCACATCCCACATTCTGAAAGTGGAATCCGGAATGTGGAATATAGGATCCGGAATTTTGAAAGTGTAATCCGGAATGTGAAAAGTGGAATGTGGAATCCGGAAAAAGTTACGTAATTCACCCCCAGGGTGAGTCAAATGTTTTCTTTTTTGTAAATTGCAATAAAAACTTGGAATCCAGTTTGTTTCTGAAATTGTTATATGTCACCAAAAATATATTTTATTAATGTTTTGTTGATTTTTATTTGTTTAAACAATTTATTATTAATAAAACTTATAACTTTTTCAAATTTACGTAGACAGTAGCAAAATTTTATGAATTTGTTACCTTTTCTTCGAAGTTATTAATTTTAAGGTTATAAATAAAATATATAATTAAATTTGCAACAACTATTATTATAAATAGTTTAAACAAATAATTGTTGCTATTTATTAACATTTTTCATAATATTCCTAGAAAGTTGCAATTTTTTCCGATTTTGCAACTTAACAAGCACAATATAATAACATATAGATTTTATATAAATTTACTATTTATCCAATTGTTTAAACAAATAATTGTTGCTATTTAATAACTTTTTTATAATGTTCCAAGAAAATTGCAATTTTTTCCTAATTTTGCAACTTAACAAGCATAATATAATAGCAAAATTTGAAAAAAACTGCATCTTTTTTCTAGGAGCAATACAAAAAAAGTTAGTAAATAACAACAATTCATTGTTTAAACAATTGTTTAATTAATAATTTTACATCAAATCTTTCGTTTATTATATTCGGCTTAATAAATTGCAAAATTAGAAAAAACTGCATCTTTCTAAGTGCAGAACAAAAAAGTTAATAAATAACATACATTGATAAAAGTTATAAATAATCAAGAAGAATTAAAAAAAAATTTGTTTTTACATTTTTTGAAAATTCTTAAGTTTTGTTCCAGTGACATTGGTCTCATACTGAAATTCAACATCGATCCAATGTTGGATTCCATCATGCTACGTGGAGAATCACCCATAAACTAAATGATGACAAATAAAATTTACTAAATATTTAGTAGAATTTTTTTTAATGTGTAATTTTTTCTGTAATATTTACATAAAATCTGTATGTTTAACAATCCAGTAAAAAATTTTTACTTGGGCCGAGCTTGGTCCAATATTGAAAGCCAATGTTCCCAGTATCAGACAGATATTGGCGACAAATATTAGACCAATAATCGATAATCCTTGGGTGGCCCACACCCTTGCACAGTGGGCCAGGATCAATAAAAACTGTCCAAAATGATAAAGAAAGGACCCCGCACTCTTAGGACAGAAAATTGCTTTCGGTCAATTTTTCTGAAACTCTGCAGTTTTGTAGTTTAAGGTCTCCTGAACAAAAAATGTTAATAACAAAATTCAAAATAATGGCCAGTTTTTGAGCTACAGTAGCTCAAAGTTGAAAAATGATAACGTAATAAATAATGTTTTTGTGAATGTTCTGTTCTTATAATCTATCAAAATCACTCAGAATCTGTTACTCGGGGGTTTTTGGGGTCACTGATTACGAATCTGAAGTCAGATTTCAAAAATTCAAAATGGCGGATCCAATATGGCGGACACGTTTTTGAAAAGTTTATCGGATTCGCTTGAAACTCGTTACTCGGGGTTTTTTGGGTTCTCTGATTACGAATCTAAAGTCATATTTTAAAAATTCAAAATGGCGGATCCAATATGGCGGACACGTTTTTGAAAAGTTTATCGGATTCGCTTGAAACTCGTTACTCGGGGTTTTTTGGGTTCTCTGATTACGAATCAAAAGTCATATTTTAAAAATTCAAAATGGCGGATCCAATATGGCGGACACGTTTTTAAAAAGTTCATCGGATTTGCTTGAAACTCCTTACGCGGTGGTTCTTAAAGTCTCTGATTACGTAACACCTTTAGTCTAAATGTCTTTATTTTCACGTTTATTTAACTACGTAATGTATCGTCGGCATTAGCATTACCCAATGTACACCGCGAGGAGGTTGCACGATCGGATTTTGTACATCATGTAGCTCTTAAAAGGCTTGGTTGGTATTGCTATTAAGAAATGTATATTATTTTAATTGTTCTCCTTCTTTGAGCTGTATCGAGTTCTTTTTTCTTTGAAAGATCTATGTAAAGGATTTCTTTTTCGTTTCGTCCCTTGTCTTAGTGTTTCTCTTTTTAAAATCCAGCAAAAATCTGCTAGCATATTAGCATCCCAGCGCCCTGGTAACGAGTTCCAATAATTTTAAGATCTTGGTGAAAACATGATGTACAAAATCCGATCGTGCAACCTTCTCACGGTGTACATCGGGTAATGCTAATGCCGACGGTACATTACTTAGTTAAATAAACGTGAAAATATAGACATTTAGACTAAAGGTGTTACGTATTCAGAGACCCCAAAAACCCCTGATTAACGAGTTTCAAGCGAATTTGATAAACTTTTTAAAAACGTGTCCGCCATATTGGTTTTTTGAGGTTATGTCAAAACCATAATCTGATGGGGTTAAATGCACCTTGGATTCGGATTCAGGGACTCAAAAAACATAAAGTATACATAGTCAGACCCCCTGATCAAAACTTTTTTTTGTGTGTGGCTGTGCGATTATTACAATAACAATTGCTGTGGTAACCATTGCTATGGAAACGGTGTTCATGGTATCAGTTACTTATAGTAACGCTTGCTACTTTAGCGGTTTTCATAGCGAAAGTTGTTCTTTCACACGCAAAAGTCAAAAACTGATTAGGTCAATTACTTTTGACGCAATAAGATTGTAAATATAGTTATTTCATGGACTGTCATGTATGATGACTGTAACTATTGCATCCCTTGCTATGGAAACGATAGTCATGGTAACCGTTGTTATGGTAATAATTGCCGTGGTTAGCATTGCTATGGAAACGCTAGTTATTGTAACCATTGTTATAGTAACTGTCACTGTAGTAACACTTATTATTTTAAGGTCTTCCATAGCAAAAGTTGCTATGGTAACGGTAGTCATGGTTACAGTTATTATAGTAACAATTACCGTGTTAACGATTGCTATGGAAACAGTTGTCATGTTAATGATTGCAATGGTAACGCTTGCTATTTTAATCATTTCAGTAGCAGCGGTTGCTATGCTAATGAAAGTCATGGTATTCGTTGCTATGTAAACAGTTGTCGTGTTAATAGTTGCAATTGTAGCGATTACAGTTGTAACGGTATCTATATCAGCGGTTGCTTTGGTAACGGTAATTATGGTAACCGTTTTTATGCAACTTTTGTCATTATGTTAGTATGTCAATTTTTAAATTAAACTAAACTCACACCAGTTTTTAACAAGTTATTCTTATTTTAGTAAAAAAAATAGTCATCATTCATTTTAATAATTGTCGTAAGTATTAAATATAATGTAGAATGACGTAGCAATATGTAGGTTTTATGCTATTTTATGCTGTAAAATATGTTGAAGAACAATATGACTTCACGCAACTTATGTTCTTCCTACAGATGTATACTTGTTGCATAAATAACTACTATTCGTGTCTGGACAAGAAAAAAATATCCATTAAAGTCCCTAGATATAAAATAAAAATTATTTGCATTTAAAAACTATTATTCTAATTGGTAATACCAAATGAGATAGTCAGCATAAACAGCAAAAACTTATCGAGTTAAAAGTATTGTGGTAAAATGTTTTTTATTGTGAGAAAAATCTTGCCGTCTTTTTAAATCCACTTTTTATACTTTTTACGGTTTATTCCCTATAGACACTGGGACATTGGATGTCTTTACGACGTCCTTAGAACATCCTTAGGACATTTATCTCCATTCGAAAGACATCCAAAAGACATCTTGTGTTCTAAGGATGCCTCTAGGACAGAATATATCTGTTGAACGTCTTTTGAACGGTCGTAGACATTAGCTGGACGTGAATATAAGTGCTGTTATAAGCCTCACGAAAATAAAGCGAAATACAGGGTCAGTTCCAATATCATCTGTGACACGGGTTTAGGTATTCTGTAATTCTGACTTCAGATTCGCAATCAGCGACCGTAAAACCCCTAAGTAACAAATTCTCAGTTAAATTGATCGATTTTTTAAAAGTAAGTCAGCCATATTGGATCCTCCATTTTCAATTCTGAAATTCTGACTTCATATTCGCAATAAGGTACCCCAAAAACACCCGGGTAACGAGTTTCAAGCAAATCCGATGAACTTTTTAAAAATGTGTCCGCCATTTTGAATTTTTGAAATCTGACTTCAGATTCGTAATCAGTGACCCCAAAAACCCCCGAGTAACAGATTCTGAGTGATTTTGATAGATTATAAGAACAGAACATTCACAAAAACATTATTTATTACGTTATCATTTTTCAACTTTGAGCTACTGTAGCTCAAAAACTGGCCATTATTTTGAATTTTGTTATTAACATTTTTTGTTCAGGAGACCTTAAACTACAAAACTGCAGAGTTTCAGAAAAATTTACCGAAAGCAATTTTCTGTACTAAGAGTGCGGGGTCCTTTTTTATTGCAACAGATCTGCGTACTTTATAAAGTACCAAAAACAGTATACTGTGTTTGGGGTCGCTGATTACGAATTCTAGAACATTTTTACAAGGGAGTTACCGATTCTATATTATGCTAACTTCACAGTTCTGTAACAATGTAATGTAACATTTCT